AAAGAATCATTTGGTCCGGCCGCGCCTCAGCCGGAGGAGACTTTCTTCTCGCCCGCCCACGCAGCTTCGCCTCGCCCGCACGCACGGCACGCACGAACACGAAACCGAAACCGATTTCCCGGTAGGGGGTCTCTCCGTCACACTTCGATCTCACCCCCTCACCTCCGATGCAACTGCGAATACCGTCGTTGCGGGTATCTCTGTCGGGTAATACCCCAATGGGTGCGCCAAGATGAGGCGGGGCCGCCACGTGGGCGCTGTCACTGGAGCTTTAGATGGAACCCGCTATGGGGCCACGAAGCGTGTGCGGGGCGCGCCGCAATGGTGCGGACACCGCCACTGGGGCCTTCGATGGAGCTCCCTGTGGGGCCACGAAACGCTGTACTGGATGGAGGAGGCGCATGCGGACACCGCCACTGATGCCTTCGGTGGAGCTCCCTTTGGGGCCACGGAGACATGTACTGTGTCCTCCAGGAGAAATCCTTATGGGGTCACGAAGAGTTGTATCGGGCGGGGGAAACGCATGCGAACACCGCATATGGGGCCTTTGGTGGAGCTCCCTTTGGGGCCACGAAACGCTGTACTGAGCGGGGGAGACGCATGCGATCACCGCCACTGACGCCTTCGGTGAAGCTCCCTATGGCGCCACAGACCGCTGTGCGCACTGGGTGGCGGAAATGCATGCGAACACTGTCACTGGAGCCATCGGTGGGGCTCCCTCCCTATGGGGCTACGAAGCGCGTGAGGGATGTGCCAAAATTGGCGCGGTGGGCGGCATGCTAACCATGCCACTGGGGCTTCCAGTGGATCTCTTCTTGGAACCACGAAACGTGCGAGGGGTGTGCCAAAATTGAGAACGGCGGCATGCTAACGATGCCACTGGGGCCTTCCTTGAAGCTCCCTATGGAGCCACGAACCGTGTGATGGGGTGTGCCAAAGTGGAAGGGAGGCGGCATGCGAGCCATGCCGCTGGGGCCTTCGGAGGAGCTGCCTATGAGACCACGAAACGTGTGAGGTGGTGGGGTGGCGGCATGCGAACCATGTCACTGGGGCCTTCGGTGGAGCTCCCTATGGGGCCGCGGAACGTGTGAGGAGTGTGCCAAGATGAATGGGATGGCGGGAGTGCCGAACTGGTTGACATGCGGAGGGCAGGAGCAAGGGTGGGAGGAGGGAGGAGCAGAAGGAGGAGAAGAAGAGAGGAAGACGCGGGGCACCGTCTCTTCGAAACGAGGACCCAAATCACAGGATGGCTGGGCAAAACAGATCGCTTGATCTTAGGATGGCATGGGTCCTGGTCTCCTAGATGGCGCCCCGGTAGATGGGGTCGGAGGATAGCTCGGCATCGCCGATGCATCGGCGATGCGGCTCGATATGGGGCACGATTCTCTCAACGCGGACGTTGCCGATGCATCGACGACGTCGCCGATGCATCGGCGATGCATTGGCGATGCGGCGTGATCATCCAACCCGATCTACGCGAACCCCTGCGAAACAAAATCATAAACGTTGGAAGGTCCGCGCGAAAGTTCTTGGATCGAAGATGGGTCCCCCTCCGTGGCGCGCGGAAAACGCCAAGGGCGGCGCCAGAGGCGCCGCCGCCCGAGGGATCCCGCGCAGATCGAAGGAATCCGCGCGGACCGTCGACAGTTCGTGGTTACACGTTTGTCTTCTCCGGCTGCCAAGGACAACTCGCGCGACACGTTGTTCTTCCTGAGGTACGATCGCATGAGCAGCCGCTGCTTGGCCACAGAGGACCGCATCTCCTGTTGGAAGCCGCCAGGAAGTCTACGCCAAATGCGGGGCTCCAAATCCGCTCAAGATCTATCCCAAACCGGACCCCTCCCAGGGTCGAAAGAGAATATGTTTTTTAATTCACCCCCCCGTAACGTCTGCCACGGGGGGGAGGGAGAGGGGGGCACGGCCGCCGTGGAGGGGTGATGGTAGCTTGGCGGGCCCGTACATGGTACTAGCAGTCGTGATGGTGGTAGCAGCGCTAGCAATAATCGAAGCACTGGTAAAATCAGCGACAGGACCGCGACGACGACGACGACGACGACCGCTGGCAGCGACGACAACAACGACAAGTAGCGGCAACGACAACGACGACAAGCGGCGACGACGACGACGACCGGCGGCGACGACGAATAAGAGCAGTAGAAATAAAAGAAGAATTATCAACAGTGGCAGAAACAGAAATAGTATAAGAAAGAGAAGCACCAATGGAACATGTACCAGCAGAAGTTATAGTTGGAGTAGTAGTACACTTTGTTCGTAGTAGTTGCAACAATTGTAGGAGGGATACAGGTCGTAAAACTGATCGTTGTAATCGTAGTTGCGGAAGCGGGGGTGACAATGGTAGCATTGGCATGGGCCGCAATATACACAGAATGGCAATGTTAACCGTACAGAAGACCAGTACGTGATTGTAGCAAGCACAGTGGCAGATAAACTAGCAAGACTTGGAGAATTGACCATCGCACTGTAGGCACGAGTAAAATGAATGAATCACAGTATGCTTCCAACGTGTGGAAATAGCAATCGTGCTGATAGTGGTAGTAGTAGTCGTAGCCGTAGTAGTAGTACTAACATTAGTAGTAGTAGTAGTAGTAGTAGTAGTAGCAGTAGTAGTAGTAATAATAGTAGTAGTAGTAGTAGTAGTAGTAGTAGTGCGACTACTACTTGGACTAGTACTAGTACTAGTCCTCGTACTGGTACTGGCCCGAGTACTACTAATCGTAGTACTCGTTTCATGGTCATGGCCATGAGGTTAGTGAAGGTAGTAATGGTTGCTTTAATTCCAGTAGCAGTAGTGGTAGTAATTGTAAGCGTAGAACTCATAAATGTAGTAGTAGTAGTAGTAGTAGTAGTAGTAGTACGAGTAGCACGAGTAGTACGAGTAGTAGTAGTAGTAGTAATAGTAGTAGTAGTAGTAGTAGTAGTAATGATCGTCGTAGTAGTACTAATAGGCGTGGTAGTAGCCGCACTGGCAGGGGTAATAATAATAGTACTCGTATTAGTAGGTCGTATTAGTAGTAATAATTCTACTCATTATAATAAACATAATAATCGTAATACGAGCAGTAGCCGTAGTAGTAATAGTAGTAGTAGTAGTAGTACTAGTAGTAGTAGCAGTAGTAGTAGCGGTAGTAGTAGTAGTAGCAGTAGTAGTAGTAGTAGTAGTAGTAGCAGAAGTAGTAGTAGTAGTGGTAGTAGTAGGCGTCGTGGTAGTAGTAGCAGTAGTAGTAGTAGTAGTAGTAGTAGTAGTAGTGGGAATAGCCGTCGTAGTAGTCGTAGTCGTAGTCGTAGTCGTAGTCGTAGTAGTAGTAGTAGTAGTGGTAGTAGTAGTAGTAGTAATAGTAATAGTAGTAGTAATAGTAGTAATCGTAGTAGTAGTAGTAGTAGTAGTAGTAGTAGTAGTAGTAGTAGTAGTGGTAGTAGTAGTAGTAGTAGTAGTAGTAGTAGTAGTAGTAGTAGTAGTAGTAGTGGTAGCAGTAGTAGTGGTAGCAGTAGTAGTGGTAGTACCGTTGGAAACAGCTCCTCTCCCTTGAAGAAGAGGTGGGGGGCCGAAGTGGCCAGCGATGGTACTGCCACTGCGGAGTTCGATGCAATACAACGACCTTTGGCTTGTGCGTCGGGATGATTGTCCACGCAACCAAGCCACCGATGGCGCGGTACCTACAGGCCAAATCCCCCGAGGAGGACAACAGGGACCTGAAGACCCTGCTGCGGGCGGACACGTTCAAGAAGGACGACATCGAGGTGATCAATCCCGCGGATGTGGTGCAACGCCTTCGCCGGTAGACCCTTTGGCAGTGGGCACAACCTCCAGGAAATAATCGGAACAGAACCAGTGGGAGGGCATTGGGTATGGATGAACGACGTGACGTGGGATAAGATATCTGAGTTCGATTGGTGCGACATATACTCGCAAACAGCATGGGGCGCAATGGCCCTGCGTGGGCGGGCTACAGCAAGAAAGGCCAGGAACAAGTACAAGCGCGAGGAGCTCGATGAGGCGAGGGTGGCGATACTGAACTACGAGCAGCGTCACAAGCTGGACGTCGGCGGCCTTGCCAACGGGGGGTGTGCAGGGGCAGCCCCGAATGCTCCCCCCGCTGACGGGCGGCAGGCGGACCTGAGGACGGGTGATGCATGGGTGTTGGACCCACCGCCGCCGCCACCTGCGCCCGCGGCGCTGACCGACGTGGAGGTGCCGCCGCCGCCGCCGCCTGTGGGCCCGCCGCCAGACGTCGAGTCTCAGCTGTTTGGCCCCGCGGTGGAGGGCAGCCAGTGGGGCTGGGCGGTTCGTGCGTTCCCGTCCGAGGTTTTCCCTCGCAAGACTGAATGGCTCTGAGGCCCCAGGGCTCCAGGGCTCCAGGGCTCGAATGAGTGAATAGGTGAGTGAGTGGCTGCACGCCGCGCCAATTTTAATAATTGCCAGGGCGCACAGCTTGTGGCTGACTGAAGCTCCGCCGTGGCCTTTCTTGTGTGCCCTATGCTACTCTGTAGCACTAGGGCCGCCCCGTGGGCTGCGGGCCGTTCGCAGCGTTGCCGCTCAGCCCTCGGTACTCCAACTAAGTGACCAGCCATTTTGGCTTGCCCTACCCCGTTTCTCGCTGTAGGCTCGTGCCAAATAAGGCCTCCCGAGCTTCGCTTCAGGGATCGGGCGGTACTGGGGTAGCCCCGTGTGCTGCACGTCCTGGGCTGTTTTGGGCTAGGCCCGTCTTGACGCACCCTGGCGGCCACGTCTGGAACGAATGGTCCTGGGGTAGCCCCCTGTGCCGTTCGTCCTGTGGCCGTGTTGGGCCCGGCTCTTCTTGATGTGCCGTGGCCGCGACACTACAGCTTCGCCAATGCGCGGCGCGCGCCCCGCCTTTCTTCGCACCCCACTTGGCGTCTGTCTCCTTGTAGGGTAATGAGGCAGCCACAGGACGCTCGCCCCAACGTGGTCGAGCCGTGGTGATGTGGTGCACGTGACCGCAAGCAGCAGTAGTAGTAGTAGTAGTAGTAGTAGTAGTAGTAGCAACAGTAGTAGTAGTAGTAGTAGTAGTAGTAGTAGTAGTAGTAGCGGCAGTGGTAGTTGTAGTAGTAGCCGTAGTAGCAGTAGTAGTAGCAGCAGTAGCAGTAACAGTGGCAGCAGCAGCAGCAGCAGTAGCAGCAGCAGTAATACTGGTAGTAGTAGTAGTAGTAGTAGTAGTAGTAGTAGTAGTAGTAGTAGTACTAGTAGTAGTAGTAGCAGTAGTAGTAGTAGTAGTGACAGTAACACTAGTAGTAGTAGTGGTCGCAGTAGTAGTAGTAGTAATAGTAGTAGTAGTAGTAGTAGTAGTAGTAGTAGTAGTAGTAGTAAGGGTAAGGGTAAGGGTAGCAGGAACAGTAACAGCAGCAGTAGCAGCAGCAGTATCAGTAGTAGTAGTAGCAGCAGCAGCAGCAGTAGTAGTGTAGTAGTAGTAGTAGTAGTAGTCGTCGTCGTCGTCGTCGTCGTAGCCGTAGCCGTAGTAGTAGTAATAGTAGTAGAAGTAGTCATAATAATAGTAGTAGTAGGTAGTAGTATGTAGTATGTAGTATGTAGTATGTAGTATGTAGTATGTAGCATGTAGCATGTAGTATGTAGCATGTAGTATGTAGTATGTAGTAGTAGTAGTAGTAGTAGTAGTAGTAGTAATAATAATAGTAGTAGTAGTAGTAGTGTAGTAGTAGTAGTAGTAGTAGTAGTAGTAGTAGTAGTCGTACTAGTGGTAGCAGCAGTAGCAGTAGTAATCGTAACAGTGACAGTGGCAGCAGCATCAGTAGCAGCAGCAGTAATAGTGGTAGTAGTAGTAGCAGTAGTAGCAGTAGTGGTCGCAGTAGTAGTAGTAGTAGTAGTAGTAGTAGTAGTAGTAGGTAGTAGTAGTAGTAGTAGTAGTAGTAGTAGTAGTAGTAGTAGTAGTAGTAGTAGTAGTATCAGTAGGAGTAGTAGTAGTATTATTAGTATTAGTAGTGGTAATAGTGGTAGTATTATTAGTAGTAGTATGAGTAGGAGTAGTAGTAGTAGTAGTAGTTGTAATAGTAGTAGTAGTAGTAGTAGTAGTAGTGGTCGCAGTAGTAGTAGTAGTAGTAGTAGAAGTATCAGTAGTAGTAGTAGTAGTTGTTGTTGTTGTCGTAGTAGTAGTAGTAGTAGTAGTAGTAAGGGTAAGAGTAACAGTAACAGTCACAGCAGCAGTAGCAGCAGAAGTAGCAGTAGAAGTAGCAGTAGTAGTAGCAGTAGTAGCAGTAGTAGTAGTAGTAGTAGTAGTAGTAGTAGTAGTGTAGTAGTAGTAGTAGTAGTAGTAGTAGTAGTAGTGGTAGTCGTAGTTGTAGTAGTACTAGTATTAGTAGTAGTAGTAGTAGTAGCAGTAGTAGTAGTAGTAGCAGTAGTAGTAGTAGTAGTAATGGTGGTAGTAGTAGTAGTAGTAGTGTAGTAGTGTAGTAGTAGCCGTAGTAGTCGTAGCAGTAGAGGTAGTAGTAGTAGTAGTAGTAGTAGTAGTAGTAGTACTGGTAGCAGTAGTAGTAGTAGTAGTAGAAGTAGGTAGTCTTATGTAGTATGTAGTATGTAGTATGTAGTATGTAGTCTGTAGTATGTAGTATGTAGTATGTAATATGTAGTAGTAGTAGTAGTAGTAGTAGTAGTAGTAGTAGTAGCAGTAGTAGTAGTAGTAGTAGTATGTAGTATGTAGTAGTAGTAGTAGTAGTAGTAGTAGTTGTAGTAGTAGTAGTAGTAGTAGTAGTAGTAGTAGTAGTAGTAGTAGCAGTTGTCATCGAAATACGGCAGGGTGCGATTATTACTAATAACAATATGAGTAGAGGTAGTAGTGGTAGAAATCCCAGAAGTAATGCTCGCAACAAACCTAAACTTGGTATTAGCCGTAGTGGCATCAGTGGCGTTTGCAATAGTACTCGCAGAAGAACTTAGGGTACTAGAACGACTATTGATAGTAGTAGTAGTAGTAGTAGTAGTAGTAGTAGTAGTAGTGGTAGTAGTAGTAGTAGTATAGTAGTAAAAGTAGTAGGTAGTAGTCGTAGTCGTAGTCGTAGTAGTAGTAGTAATAGTTGTTGTTGTTGCTGTTGTCGTGGGAATCGTAGAAACAGCAGGACGAGCAGCAGGATGTGCAGTTGGAGGGGGAGGAGCAACAGCAGAAAAAGCAGGATCAGCAAGACGAGCAGCAGGAACACCTTGAGGAGAAGCAAGTGGGACAGCAGGAGGAGCAGCACGAAGAGCATCAGTAGGAAGCGCAGCAACAGCAGGAGCACCAGAGCAGCAGGAGGCGCAGCAAGAGCAGGAACGGGAGGAGCAGTAGGAGGAGCACCTGAGCAGCAAGCAGGAGTAGCTGAAGAAACAGCAGGAGGAGCAGCGGAGGAAGAGAAAAGCAGCAGCAGCAGGAGCAGGACAAGGAGGGGGAGGAAGAGCCGGAGAAGGAGCATGACCAGGAAGAATACCGCAGGAGCATCAGGAGGAGCAGCAGCATCAGGAAGGAGAGTAACGGGAGGAGCCAACAGAGGAGCATCCAGAGCAGCATAATGAAAACAAATGCGGCAGGAGGAACAGCAGGAGGAGCAGGATGACCAGCACGAGCAGCAAGGGGAGGAGCAATACAAGAGCATCACGAGGAGCAACAGGAGGAACAGCAGACGGAGCAGCAGCCGGAGCAGCAGGGGGAGCAACAGGAAGAGCAACAGGAGGAGCGGCCAGAGGACCACCAAAATGGGCAGGGATGAGCAGCAGGAGAACGTGGGACGAGCAGCAGCAGGGGCAGCCGGAAGGGGCAGCCGGAAGGAGGAGCAGCAGGATGAGCAGGAGGAACAGCAGGAGGAGCAGCAGGAGCAGGAGCAGGAGGCGCAAAAGGAGGAACGACAGGAGAAACAGCAGGAGGACCAGCAGGAAGAGCACCGGAGGAGGAGGAACACCGGAGGAGGAGCAGGATCAGCACCGCATGAGCAGCAGGAGCAGCAGGAGCATCAAGAGCAGCAGCAGCAGCAGCACGAACACCGCATTCCCGGCGTTCCTGGCGTTACCGGCAAACCGGGTGCTTGCAAGCGCCACAGCATGCTTGTGAGCACAAAGCATGCCTGGCAACGCCACAGCGCGCCTGTGAGCATGGCGCCGCCTGATGGGAAACAGCACCAACCACGCGTACGCTCATCACCGTTACGGCGGGGTTGGAAGGGGGGGGGGCGGCGACACCCCGTGACGGACGTCATCACACGCCCAAATAATGACAAAACAAATAAGACTCTCAACTTGACAAAATTTTCGAGCCGCGTCCAACCGTGACAACGTGGAAGGCCCTTTCTCCACCCTCTCTGCTGGCCAAGACCATTGCTAGGCCACCTCATCCCCCCAGCCGGCTCCAAGTCTCCTGCAGCCTTATCATCCCTGAGTTGGCGGCGCTGATCAGCAGGCACAGCGAACCCAGGCCCAGCAGAAGCGCAGCGATGGCATACGCCGATTCCGAGGTGTTGGTCGGGACCACCTCGCTAGCGCCGTGGAGCTGCGCCAGGGCCCACCGCACAGAAGTCAGGTACTCATAGTCCACCCCCGCCTCCTCCTCGATCTCCCTGGCGACCCAGCCATCTCCCGAACGGGATCCCACCCAGAACCAGCCGCAGGCGGTCATGTGGATCCCAACGACGAAGTAGAGGAACATCCTGACCACGTTGTGCGCCCTCCACGCCACCGCCGAGTTGAAGACCGAACCGAATCGCTCAAACACCATTTCGAGCTTGAAGAACCGGAGGGTTCGCGCGAACCGAAGAAGGCGGAAATGGTCCAGCATCCGTCCCGCCCCACTCGACTCGCCCCCACCCGACATGACGAAGACAGGGACCCACTCCGATATGACGATGACGACGTCAAACGCCATCCAGCCCTTCGCGTAGGTCCTCGCGACCTCCCAGAAGCGCAGCTCCAGCTCCAGATCGATGTAGACGCCAGTGAGGAAAGAGGCCGCGATGTCTGCCGTCCAGAAGGCCCGGCTGATCCAGTCTGTGACGTCGGTGAAGGACTCCGGGGGCCAGCCGAAGGCCTGCATGGGCACGACCGCAGCGTCGTAGATCACCAGCAGAGTGGTGACCAACTCCTGGGGAAACCAAGAGGTGCCGATACTGCTACTCCCCGGACCTCTGCCAATGCGTTCTGACCAGGAGTTTCCAAGCGATTCCAGCCGTGGCGGCCAAGGCCTCCCGGGAGGCATACAAGTGCGAAAACGGGTCTCCCAGGGCGAGCGACGAGGGCCTACAAGGAGGCCCGAGAAGGCAAAAAAGATGAAAAGGTGGCGGCATCGGTACCTCTTCCTCTTCCGAGCTCCCACAGCAGCCGCACCCTGGACGCCGGCTGCAGCAGCCCCACGCCCAGATTGAACTGGCTCTCCTGGTAGGGCGCCAGCTATTTCACACCCAAGCCAATCCTGGGCAGACCCATCCTGGACCCAGGATCGGTGCACACGCCCTCCTGGCTGGACCAGGAAGACATACGCAGACCCCCGACGTGGTGATCTTTTAATGACGTGACCCCATGAGGTCTGGAGCCCTTCCTGGGGACCAGCGTTTCATGAGTCGTTTTTCGATGGTCCCGAGGTCCAGCTGGGGCAGCCAAAGGCCGAAAATACGGGAAGACCTTCCGTCGTGGTTCTTCACGACGCAAGGGGGTCTGGGGAAGGGCCTGACAAGGAGCGGTGCATACAGTCGGACTCGATTGGAGAGGACACGCGAGAGGACACAAGACCCTTCCGAGGGCCACATTGCCACAGGAATGTAGGAAGCATGGGTCGAGACACAGGAGACAAGGGTACCCTTGATTTGGCAGGGTCGACCTACTACTCTAGGCCGACTGTAAGCATGGTTGGTGCCCTCCAGTCTCCTTCTGGCGCTTGGTGCTGGGGGCGGCCAGGAACGACAATTTGATGCCAAAGGGGTGCTCGGCGGGCTGCGGGCTGCGGGCGCTGCGCCAGTTCTTCGTGGACGTGAGCAGCACGTTCGAGCTCTCCATCCACACGTCCCGCAGGTGGAACCGCTCGCCCTCCACATCCTCCCAGGTGTCCGACGGCACAATTCTTCCATCCAGGCACGTTTCATCGGTTCAGGCCTCTGGGGCCCAGTGGCGGGGGAGCGCCAAAAGTGAATCCAGGGTGGCAAACTGGCCCTGGGGAACGGGGCGGGACCTCTGGAGCCGCGGATTGGAAGAACATGTCGGCGGATGTCAAGGCTTGCGGCATGAAAGAAGCGAAGTTCGAGAGCTCGGTAACGGGGGGGCAACAATCGCGGGATGGAAATCCTTTCGTGTACAGTAGGGCCCACGGTGGAAATTTGGGGGTCCGCCCATTCACTGAGAGGAACCCAGAAGGAACCAAATCGAGCCGATATCGAGCTCTTGGGCCCCTCTTGGGCCTCTCTTGGGACCTTCTTACGGATCTCTCGGAGCCCTCCCGCGCCCTCCTATCCCATCTCGAAAGGCCCCGAGAGGGCCTGAGAGGGGCCCGAGACAAATCAAAAACATGTCGCCGAGAGCCCTCTTGCGTAAGTTGACTTAGAATTCTCTTGGACCCCGCTCGGTCCCCTCTTGAGGGCCCCAGGGCCCTCCAATGCCGTGTCGGGAGCCCCGCGAGGAGCCCCAGAATTAGAGTCGAATCAAACTCGAGTCACGCGAGAGCCTGATTGCGTGACTTGATTTTGATTCCTCTTGGGCCTCTCTTGAGGACATCTTGGGGCCCTCCAATGCCATCTCGCGGGGCCTCATGGAGTCTTCTTGAAGCCCTCCCAAGGCTCCAAATATGCCCTTCCGCGAAGACCCCTTCAACAGAAGCTCTGATTGGGACATCTCGGGGACCTCGGAACCTAGTCGATTACCGCAATCGGCCTGGCACTTTCGCCACATCTTCGCAGTCTTGCGAGACCTGGGACCGGGAACCTGGCTGACGACCGAAATCGGACCAGCGCTTTCGCCAAATAGCTTAATCTCTGTGAGGACCCCTTCAGTGCAAGCACTGATTGGGATTAGGCGTTCTCCCCCTATCAGCCTCGTGATCTCTCCCCTTGCGATCGCACTCGCCCCATCCTCTTCTGGATCGTCCATCTCATACTCGTGCGTATAGTCATCCTGGTCCCTCACCCATCCCCGCTCTCGCCCTGATTCCTGCTCCTCCTCCTCCTCCGCCTCCTTCCCCCTGTTTCGCCCTCCTCCTCGTCCAACATCTCCTCCTCCTCCTTTACGGCCTTATGAGAATTGGTCTGTTGGACCTCTTGGGCGAGGGCGCAACAAGGCGAGGGAAACCTACACTCGAGTGAAAATCCCAACATGCACCCCTGGCAACGGGGGCCCAATCTACACCCGGGAAACGGGGGCGCCAATGTACACCCCCCAAAACGCGCGCGCCAATGTACACCCCAGGAACGGGCTTGCCAGTGTGCGCCACCCCAAATCTGCAACGAACAGCTCAGCCCCTAGAGAGTCGGGATCTGTCCTCCCACTGGGGCCGATCACTGGGGCAGCGGGGCGCGCCAGACTGGGTGTACAACGGGATCTCGCAGGACGGAAATGCACACACCTACGGTGGAGGTTTTAGATAAGGATGCCTTCGATAAGGAACCCAGGGTCTCGCGACCGATGGGCGGCCAAACGTGGGCCACCCACCTCGCCTTGAAACAGGAAGGGATGCGCCTGGGTCTGGGCCCCAGGAAGACGTTCCTGATCCAATGCCGCCGCCGTAGCAGACGAAACGCGAGTGCACACCCACGAGGGGAGGCCGGTGTGCACCCGGTCATGCGGCGAAGCCACTGCGAGGTCGGAGTGCCATGTCGGAGTCTGGCGTGGGAGCACCCAGTGTGCCCCCCGAGCGGGGGCGGCCCACTGGTACGCACGCCCCCCCAGAGAGCAATCCCGAGGTGCTCCCCCCGGAAACGAAGCCATGCGTGCACCGCCTGGGGACCAACAGGAAGCAATCCCAGCCCACTGGTACACCCCCCCCAGCGAGCCATCCCGATGTGCTCCCCCCGGGAACGAATCCCAGTGTGCACCGACTGGGGACTAACAGATTTGTTTGTTGCAGCGCAAAACCCAATGATGAACACTGCCAACTTCCCAACTGATGGGAAGGGGGGCTCCACCATGCAAGCAAAAAAAAAGGCGGTCGGGCCTGGGGAATAACAGATGATGACAAAAATGCTGGTGGCGAGTTCGATGGATCTCGATGCTCTGTCGATCAGCATGAGCTGCCTCGGATCTCGAACAATTGCCTACATGTGGAGGCCGGGATGGCACTCTCGGGCTCCAGGGCCCTCCAATGTAATTTCGGAGAGCCGTAAGAGGGCTCCAAAACGGGCCCGCGAGGAATCAATGCTAAGTCACACGAGAGCCTGATGGCGCGACTTGATGTTGACTCCTCTTGGGCCCCTCTTCGGACTGGGCCCCCCGACGTCGTCTCGGAGGGCCCCCGGGCACTCTTCGAGTCCTCCCGAAGCCCCGAGGGCGGCCTTCCGCGAGGTCCCCCTCAACAGAAACAAACCCTGGGGCATCTGGGAATCCCGGAATCCTTGGCCGCTTACCGCAAACGGCCTGGCACGTTCGCCACATCCTCGCAACCTTGGGAATCTGAGATCATGGGAACCTGGCCGCCCAAGGAATTCGGGCTGGCACCTACGCCAAATATTTCCATATCCGCGAGGGCTCGCTCAGTGCAAACACAGCTTGGGCAGTATACTGTTGGACTCGAATTTGGCAACGGGGATCGATCACCAAATCGTCGTCGCGATGCTCTCCTTTTTCTTTTCCTCCTCATCGCCCTCCTTTTCCCCTTCCTCCCCGCAGGCATCTCGTTCCATTCCACCATTCATCTTCCCCCTCGTACTCCACACTGATATCATTACCCCTCTTCATCGTTGCGTTGTTGCCCTCTCTTCCCGTATCCTTGTTTTCCCCTCCTCCTCCCCGCCCTTGTCCCCCGCCCTCCTCCTCCTCGTTCCCATCCAACTATATTCAGTCACACTTTTAAATTTGTTGTCAATCCCCTTCGAACCCCCCCGCTCGCCCCGCTCACCCCCCCGGCCCTCCGCTTGCGTTCCCTGGCCCGAATTCGGAGGAGCGGCCCCCGAAAGGGTGAATCAAAGCCGAGATTGGAGGGTGGCGCCACCTCTGCGATCGCGGCCTTTGCTACTGTTGCTCGTCGCGGTCGTCGTTGTCATCGCGTCGTCTGACCCGCTTACCCCCTTCGTCACACTACTCGTGCTCCTTCACATCCTCCTCCCCCTTCCGCCGTTTCCCTCCCTCCACCCCGATGGGGATGATGGCGAACGCGGGTCGCACGCAAAAGATTATCCATTATCCCATGCGCCTGACCCGAAACTACGAGCACGCAGCTGACCAAGATGAAAAGAACGTCCACGACAACAACGTGCCTGGCTCACGCCCCGCAGAACAAAATACCCAAGCGCAAACCAATCAAAACAACACGAAATCGAGAGCCGAATGGAGAACGACCGATCCAGACGCCAAAAGGTTTGAAACCCGAGTCCCATTGACACATCGTACTTGTACTTCCGATAACGACCAAAAAATGCCCCTGGCCCGTAGGTCGGGTCGGACGAAACGGGGGGGCCAGGGAATCAACTCACGCAGCTGGCCTCCGGGCTCGTCCAGGCGCTGGGAGGCGCCAGTGTATCGAGGAAGGCGCCTGGCGGCGGTGCCGAAACCAGCTGCACGCCACGCAGCAGATTCCGCACCGCCGCCCCCTCCCCCTCCCGTTTTTCCATGTTTCCCCCTTTCGTCCGCTCCGAGGGGAGTAGGAGGAGGAGGAGGAGGCGGAAGAGAAGAGGGAGGAGGAGGAGGAAGAGGAGGAGGAAGAAAAGAGGAGGAGGACCAGCGGAAACCCAAGACTCGTGAACGATTTACAACAAACCTTTTTTTCCGAATTTCCTCTTCAGGAGTCCCTGGGAAGATAGACGCTACTGAAAGAAATGCCCGGTTGGAAGATAAAGGTTTGAACACCTTGAGGCCAAACCACTACTCCTACGAACACAACGTTGCGATTGCATCCTGGCGGCCCTGAGTCGTGCCAGAACATTAGTTAGGGGACTTCAGCACCGCAAAACAACGTTACTGTTTCGCCCTGGCAATGCTACATCGTGCCAAAAACACCAAATTTGAAACGTCAGCCAGGAAAAAACAAACACTTGACACTGCTGCAGATTCTTAGGACGAAGGCGTGCGAAGTTAAGGCGAGAAGCGCATTTGAAACGGAATAACCCTCCATCCGTGAAGCCCTTTGTAACTTGTTGTAACGATTTCGCGCGGCGAAGAGACGAACACCATATTCTGGCCCGCCCACGCAAAACTGCTGCGTTCGGAATTCAAACATATTAAAAGAAACGCCCAGCCTGCCGTACCAACACGCTTCGGGGTGCGACAGTGAAGGGTGACTCATAAGGAAAAAAGGACGGAAGAGGAGGAAAAGGAAACACACACAGTATAACCAAGACTCACCAACGATGTTGGAATAAACTCTCATTCCGACTTCCCCCTTTCATGCGACCCCACACATATTCATTTCCACTGAAGGAAGAGTCTCGTTGGGAGACAACCGTTTGAAGATCCTGGACCTTGCCAAACACCCATCTCAAAACTTTAACGCCACGAATCGACCTGACTGTTGCATCTCGGCGACCCTGAACCGTGCCACGACATCGTTCCTGGGACATCGACACCGCGACTCAATGTAACTACTGCGCCCTGACAGCCCTGACTCGCTCCATAAAGCCATTTCTCGTACATGAAACATGGGATTCCGCGAAACTCTTGACATGTGTTGAAAAGATTGCGCGCGGCGCTGAGACCAGAGCCAGTTTGAAAAAATACCGCCCTCAACTCGTGAAGCTCAGGCACAACATTTGACACAAATCTGCGCGGCGCTGAAGCGAAAACCGCATTTTGAAGGCGGCCCGCCCTCAATCAGTGAAACTGCGTCGTTTGTTTGAGCAAATACGCACGGCACTACGGCG